GCCTCGGTCTATGTGACTGGCGGCGCCGGCGCGGCCTCCGTCTGGAGCGGTAGGTGCGGACCTGCTGGCGGGAACGGCCGCGGGGGTACCTCCGGGGCCTGAGGGCCGAGGCGCCCTGGGAAGGAGTGGACAGAGCCTGAAAGGCGATTCGGGCCCGGACTTCGCCGGCCTCCCGTTAGCCGCTCTCCCTTCCCGCCTGAGAGGACACTTCCGCCGCTCCGAGGTCATTTTATCTCTGTTTTGTGTCCCCGGAGTCCGGGACTGAGGCGGGTGCTCGGGCGGCCGGGGAGACCGGCTGCCCACGGAGGCCGGAGGCCGCCCTGTGAGTGCTGACTTGCCGTGCTCGTCCTTTCCTCGCCTCTGTGTCGCCCGCTGCCACCTTCCTCGGCGGGCGCCTGAGGACCGGCAGCACAAACGAGTTCAGCAACGGAAAAACAAGCGTCGTTCCCCAAATTTCACGTCACGCGGTGGGTTGTTACTGCAGCTACGTATTCATGAAGGCTTCCATTTTTAAATGAGTGCATGCATTCTGAGGGAAAATTGAATTATTTCGAGGTCCTCGTGAAATCCAAGTCTCCCATGGACGCTGTGAAACTTATTAGATGATTTTATTTATTTATTTATTTTAAGATGACCAGTAAGGGGATCTTAACCCTTGACTTGGTATTGTCAGCGCACACACTCCAAGTGAGCGAACCGGCCATCCCTATGTAGGGATCCGAACCCGTGGCTTTGATGTTGTCAGCACCACACTCTCTCGAGTGAGCCACGGGCCGGCCCCATGATTTTTAATAATCGTTTTTCACAAGTCAGTGAGCACTTAATGGAAAAGCCGAGTTCTTGTTTTCATAATGAAGTCGATTGGTTGATCCCAGAGGACTGTTAAAATCCTAACTAACCGTGACTCTTAAGTAAAAATCGATTCTTTGCCCGGTAGAAAAATACTTCGATGAGCCTTTTCCAGTCGTGAGTTGCACTTGGGTATATTTCATCTGCTTTTCATCTAGTTTTTCATTTCATCTAGTTCTTCATTTAGTTAATTCCATTGCTTCGGAAGATAAATGGAAGTCACAGACTTATCGCCACAAGTTCTACCCGGTTTTTGATTTTTAAATTTTAACCATTAAGTTTTCTGGGATAGGTAAACATGTGTGGACACTTATAACCCCTTTTAAAAACTGCGAAAATGTTTTCAGGATGGCTAAATTTTGTTTGTTTAATTCATTCAGTAGCATTTGATTAGGCAAGTTGCGAAAGATTGCAGTCCACATGGCTTGCGATAAGGTTGAGGTTAAATTTTAAGGGTTTGAGTAGGTGTGTTTCTCAGAGTGCTTTTAGATCTTAGGTGTTTTAAGCAGATAGCTAAACGATCAGTATTTTCACACATTTTTCAGTGGTGCGACTTAGGCAAACTACCAAAATTTCTTAAGTCCTGAAGGATGAAAGTAATAGTGGTGTGTCCTAGGCACTGCTGATTTTTTACCTGGCTCATCTAATTTATAGAAACTCATAATATCTAGCTTTTCCAATTCACCTTTTGTCATGTTTGCTCAAAATATTTTGAGTAGTAAATTCTATAGTATCCCTATGATGTGGAGATGAGAATTGTAATGATTACTGTATATTTGCAATACATTGTAGCTTTGGAGGTGTCTTACTGTCTTGTACGTATGTAGTATAGAACCCCGTTGAAAATATTGTTTACTTAGCAGTCTTGATCATTATTATATAATGCATTTGTATCTTGCTCTTCAAAATTTTGTGAAAAACAAGAATTAAGGTAGTATTTTGGTTTTACTCTTGTTTTTATTTTTTTGTCTCTCACTTTTCTGCCTTTAAATATTTTCTATTTCTTGTAGTTACTAAGCTTATCAGAGAAAAACTTTATATTCCCATAGTAGTATACCCCATTGGATGTAACATTAAGGTGTTCCATCAGTGCTATAAATGTTTCCATCTTTGAAGATACAGTTGGTGGAATTTACCGTAATTTTTCCTAGATGCACATTAAAGTTGTCTTTTATGTTCATATTATGTTCATATTTTAACTGAGGTATCCCTTGTTTGTATAGCATTATTTATGGTGCTGAAGGCATTGTGATTTGCAGCACTTTGTGAGGCAGGCAAAATTGGTATCTTTTTGCTAATTTGGAAACTAACCAGGAGAGTTAAGTGACTTGCTCAAGATCACACAAATTACTGATAGAAGAGTAGGGAAAAGGTGATCTTCCAGTTGCTAACCAGTACCGTTACTACTACAGTGCCAAGACTAGTACAGTGTCAGATGATTGGTTTCTTAAGATTCAGTTGAGTCATTTCACCAAGGCATCTGCCTTCTTAACTGAAGTTATGGCTGGTACTTTCCTCTTTTCACAGAGAACTGAGTTGCCTAACTTAGGAAACTACTGGTATCTAGGATGCTGGGCACCTGGCCAACCAAAACTGACTCCACATCCTAAGCTGTTTCTCTGTGTTAAGGCATCAGCAGTAGATGGTGGTTCAACATTCTAAATTTGAGCTGTATTATTTCTGAATTATCTACATAAATAACTAAAACCTTTACATAATTTTAAAACCAATCATCTAAAATCTGCAAAAAGGTAGCCTAATTGGCCAGTTTGGAATTTTCTAATTCGCTTTTCTTTACATCTTCATTCTCTGCTTTAGCTAAGCTTAATCATTGTTGAGTGTAGAAAGAGTGGGAGAATTATTCATCATCAGGTACCCACTGTTGAGAGGTAGCTGAGAATTTGAGGTACTTACCCCCAATTAATAGCTGTTTTAACCTGAGCTAATCAACTAATGACTCACATTTTCATCCTGGAAAATGGGAACTAACTTTGACTTTGAAAAGTTGTGGTTATTAAATAGTGTGACTCATAAGCACTGAGTACAGGTTGAGTATCCCTTATGCTAAATGCTTGGAACCAGAAGTGTTTCAGGTTTCAGATTTTTTCAGATTTGGGGATCTTTGCATTATACCTTTTGAGCATCCCAAATCTGAAAATCCAAAATGCTCCAATGAACATTTCCTTTGAGCATCATGCTGGCACTCAAAAAGTTTTGGATTATGGGGCATTTGAGATTTTGGATTTCAGATTTTGGGATTTGGGTTACTCAATCTGTATATATTCTTCATTGTTTTTTCCTTCAAGATTCAGGATTCAACGCCAGCTGACTCTAAATATGTTTCAGTCATTTGATTTTTCTGGCATGAGAATAGATTGTTCTAAGAACCTGGAATATACAATGTTTTTATGAATCTAGAATTGACTTTGTATGGTTATTATCCTTGTCATTTGGGCTAAAAAAAATTGCCATGGGGAATTATAAATTACATTCATATAATGTGAAAGTAAAAATTGAGACTTAGGTTCTATTTTGACCAAATAGCTGTATGTGGTAGATGCTTTTAAATCTTAAACCTATTCTAATTTGCATTTTGCCAAACTGTGCATTTAACTGTGGCATATCATGGACTCTCAAGGAAAGATTGATTTTTTCAATTAAGCTAAAGTTAAGGGAGGATTTTTCTTTCTAAATGCAAAGTCCTAAATTTCCCAAGTTGGATACCTCATACCAGTGGAATAATCTGTGACTTTGAGAGTTGACTTACGAAGCATAAACATTTATATAAAACTAGTATTTATCCCTGATTTACCTTACAAATTTAGAAATTTATTTTTATAAAGAAAACTTGAGTATTTTTAAGCACCATTTAATTAAAATCTACCCAGCATCAAACTTTTTTTTTTTTTTTTTTTAAAGATGACCGGTAAGGGGATCTTAACCCTTGACTTGGTGTTGTCAGCACCACGCTCAGCCAGTGAGCGAACCGGCCATCCCTATGTGGGATCCGAACCCGGGGCCTTGGTGTTATTAGCACCGCACTCTACCGAGTGAGCCACGGGCCGGCCCAGCATCAAACTTTTTAAAAAGAAAAAAGAACATGAGCCAGTGTTAGAATAACTCTTGTTTAGGGCCGGCCCGGTGGCGCACTGGATAGTGCGCTGCTTGGGAAGCGCGGCGGCGCTCCCGCCCGAGGGTTCGGATCCCACATACGGACCCGGTTCCGCTCACTGGCTGAGCGAGGCGCAGGGGCAGCACCGAGGGTTGCAGTCCCGTTGCCGGTCCCCGGTCCGGTACGGGGGCAACACTGAGGGTTGCGATCCGTTGCCAGACACGGAAAAAGACAAAAAGACAAAAAAAAAAAAAAAAAAAAGAATGACTCTTGTTTAGAATTCTGAAAGTTGGAGAGATAACCAGGAATTCTGCAGTAAGGCTTAGAAACAAAGGCAGGAGAGAGTTATGATTGTTATTCTCACCTGTGAATTATTCCTTCAGGTTTTTCAAGAAACACTAATTAAGACTTTTTGTTGATAAGAAACTTTAATAATTAAATACCCATTTTGTGCCGGTCACCATGCTAAAGACTAATGTTTGTTTCAAAAATAGCACAATAATTTTGGGCCTTGGTAAACTGAGGCTTGGGGTTTCTGCCACTTTTTTTATTTTCAAAGTTTGACACCCTCTTTTAGAAAACAGGGTTATCAGAACTTTTTCATGTGTTTCCCAGTCCTTTAAATGCTCTTTAAAAATTGATTAGCATCTCATTTTTTGCTAATTAAGCTTGCAGTTAATTTTATTTTAATAGAATAAGAATCTGAATGCTTGCCTATTAAGAAGAAAATAAACAGGTAACCTAGGGGAAGTGTCAGGTATAATAAAGTTTATAAACAGGAATTTAATATATGTTGAATAACATCTATGATACCTAAGTTTTGTAACTAAGATTCTATATATTGAGTAGATAGGGTGCCCAGTAGCTAGATAGGTAGACTACCTATCCTTCCTAGTAATTTAGCTCTTTTCAAACTATCACTCAGAGAACTCTATCTACCACAGTACCTGTTAACTTCCATGTTCTCAAAATTTTATGTCACAGTATAGTTGTCTTGGTTGATTCTGGAAAATAGTTAGATTGACTTATTTAAATAAATTGACCTTTATGAACTTAGTAGTAATTGACGCAGATTAATTTGTTCATACTTAACATTTAACATATGTTTGAGTGCCTGCTATGTACTAGCACTGGCATCAGCAGTGAATGAAACAATTCTAATCTCATGTAGCTTACTTTATAATTGGGGGAAATAGATAAGTATATAAAATGTCAGATGTGATAAGAGCTACAAAGAAAAATAAAGGCTGATACTAGTAGATGGCAAAGGATGGGCAAATTTGCTATTTTGAGTGAGACGGGAA